AGCTGTGTCCCTCACAGGTGTCTGAGAGGTTCCCAGGGGACCCTGGAGGCTGAGGCGAGGGTGGAGGGACGGGCCAGACCCCTGGCTGAGCCTCAGCCCCTCAGGTTTCACCGGGTGGGCCCACCTGACCGAGGTCGACCCTGACGAGGAGGTGCAGGGCGAGATCCACCTGCGGCTGGAGGTGGTGCCAGGGACCCCAGCCCGTCGGCTGCGCTGCTCTGTGCTGGAGGCCAGGTGAGGTGTGGGGAAGGGGGACAGGGCCTGGGACACTGGGCCCAGTGTGGAGGGTGGGCCGCCTCCTCTGCTCCATGCCTGGGTCCCAAGGCCGCCTCCCACCAGAGCTTGCTGTTAAGAGGCTCTGGGGCTACTTTCCTGACTCCAAGATGTCACCTGGGTGACCTCCACCCCAGGGCGTGGCCCTTCAGGGAAGGGATAGTGTTCTGACAGGGAGCTCCGGGCACCCTGGAGCAGGGATGGGGGTGCAGGGGACGATGCTTCAGTGCTGACGCTGGACTGCCCCTGGTTGACCCCAGCATGAACTTGGCCTGGTCAGTGTGCAGGTGCAGGTCCTGGGTCCTGCAGGAGCGAGTTGCTGAGGATCTCCACATGGGGAGTGTGTGTGCTGGGGTGGGGACGCTCGTCTCCAGGAGGGACAGTGGCTTGGATGGCTGCGGGCCTGAGTCACCTGTGGCAGGGCCACCCCCCCCCCCGCCCCCACGGTATTTTTAGCTGCAGGCCCCACTCCTGTCTGGGGCCGGTGTGAGTCACACACGGTCCTTGAGTAGCGGCTTCCCCTCTGGCTCCAAACCTTCTCCTTGGAGTCCCCCTGTCCCTGGGCCAGTGGGCAGCCTAGCTAGCATCCTGAATGAGGGTCCCCCACCCCAGGAAAATGTCGCTCTTGCAGGGAGGGGAGTTGGGTGATGGAAACCTCGGGCATCCTGTGGTTTTCCCTGCATTATTTTTGGCCCCAGGGCTGGGGCAGTGGACATGGCTGGACATGGCAGAGCCGCCCCCATGCTCTCCCATTCCCTCCCCGCCCGCCGGCCCCTGCCCACCCACTTCCTCCGTTCCCAGCCTTGCCTGGCACCAGATTGTCTGGGGCACCGGTGCCCACATGTGTGTGCACGCACACGCTGCGAGCCCTGGAATCCCAGGCTGCTGTCCCTGGCTCCAGTCCCCATCCCTGGGGATGGGAATCACAAAGCCCTTCTCCCCGGCCCACCCTCTCTCCAAAAACCGCCTCTCAGCTCTCTCCTCTTGGAGACTGTGGGGGACCCAGTGGCTGGCTCTGTGTCGCTGCCTCCTAGTAAGTCCTGGTAGGGGGAGTGGTGGTCCCAGCCCCTTTAGAGCCAGGGGCAGGGGACCTGTTCCCTGCTGTCCTCAGTGAGTCTCATGGAGTCCCAAGGCAGCAGCGTGAGAAGGCTCGTTTGCTGCTCAGGGAAACAGAACATTTTCTCCTTGCTCTGGGCAGAATCTCAAGGCCAAACCTCGGGGTTCTCCTAGAGCTGTGTCTTCCATTTTTGCAGTTCTGGAGATGGAGCTCGGGGCCTCTAGCAGGCTGGCCAAGCGCTGTACCCTGAGCTGCACGCACCCCAGCCCCTTAGGCTTTTTTTTTTTATTTTTAATTTAAAGAAAGGGTCTTCCTGAGTTGCTCAGGGCCTAAAATCAACCTCGTTAAGTTGCTGAGGTTGACTTTGAACTTGAGATCCTTCTGCTTCAGCCTCCCAAGCCTTTGGGATTACAGGTGTGCACCGCTGTCCCCAGCTCCTTAGACAGTTTTAAGAGGCTTCAAACTAAAACATACAGCAGATAGAAGAAGGGTGGACTCTGTTCTTCCACTAGGGGCGCCAGGGCCAGATTTGGGCTTTGTAAAGATCCGTCTATGGAGAGAGGAAAGGGTGATTGATGGGGCCTGCACCTCGCCCACCTCCATCAGGGGGACCGTCGGTCGGCCTCAGTGGGGCAGGTCTCATCCTCTCCATTTTACTAATGAGGAGACGGGCTCAGAGGGGGCCCCTGCCCAGGACTGCCCAGGGAACAGTGGGTGGGGCCTGACCTGGCTTCACTCCCCCCACCCCACCCCAGAGTCAGTGCAGCAGCTGGCCTGTGGCCGCCCAGTCAGAGGGAGCCGTGGTCTCCACCATGGGGCATTCTTGGCCATGTGGGGGACAGGGGGTGACCGCTGTGGGAAGAGGAGGTCAGAAAGGGGACAGGTGCTGTCCACAGCCAGCTTGCCAGGGACAGGACGAGCCCAAGCCTTTCCAGCCTGGTGTGTTTACCTTGAAGCAATGACAAGCTGGAGCAGCAGACCCAGGTGACAGGTGGGTGATCCACTGTCCCTATCCCACCATCAGGGACCTAGCCCCAAAGGACAGGAATGGCGCATCTGACCCTTTTGTCCGAGTGCACTACAACGGCCGGACACAGGAGACCTCGGTGAGGAGGCTGGTGGGCTGGGGAGGGCCGGGGAGGCCCAGGGACTCTTCCCCCACCAGCCCTGCCCTCGCCACCCGCCCCCTCTCCACCATCTGAGAAGCCAGGAGTTTCCAGATGAGGCTCAGGGACGTGGGGCATCCCCTCTGAGGCGACAGAACAGGTCCCAGCCCTTCTGTTGCCAACTCCTTTCATGCCTGGCCATGCTGGAGAGGGCGGGGAGTCGGTCAAGACAGCACAGTGAGGGTGCTCTTAGAAGTGCCACAGCTCCCCATCCTCCTTTTGTCACCTCCAGGAGATGGTAGGGTGGTGGGCACAGACCTGGGGGAGGGTGATACAGGTTCTCAGTGCCATTTCTGTTTTGCTGTGTGGCCTTGGACAATTCTATTTGCCACTCTGGGCCTCTATTTCCCCATCTGTGAAATGGGTGGTCTTGGACAGGACGTTGTTTTTTGTTTTTTAATTTTTTTTGTTTAATGGATGGATAATGTTGAAATCTTTTGTTTATTTATATGCGGTGTTAAGAATCGAACCCAGTGCCTCATGCCTGCTAGGCAAGCACTCTACCACTGAGCCACAACCCCAGTCCAGAAGGTTGCTTTTTGTTGTTGTTTTTGTACTTGGAATTAACCCCAGGGGCACCTTACCACTGAGCCATGTTCCCTATTTATTTATTTTGAGGTAGGGTTTCACTAAGTTGCTGAGGCTGGTCTCAAACTTGTGATCCTCCTGCCTCAGCCTCCTGAGTCACTGGGATTACAGGTGTGCACCTCTGTGCTTGGCTTTGGACAGGAAGTTTTCACCTCTGCTACTGCAGAGCCAGGGACAGTGTCCAGGGCGACTCTGCCCTTGGCTGGGGCCTGGAAGCCCTGTCGAGGGAGCCCCACCCCTGCCCCTTTCTGAACAGGTTGTGAAGAAATCCTGCTACCCTCGATGGAACGAGACATTTGAATTTGAGCTGGAGGAGGGGGCTGCGGAGGCTCTGTGCATTGAGGCCTGGGACTGGGACCTCGTCAGCCGAAATGACTTCCTGGGCAAGGTAACACCCCTCCATTCCCCGCACAAGCACGTGCACACACCCCAGGCTGCACCCGGTGTCCATTCCCACCATCCCACCCTCAGGGACCTGCCTCAGTTTCTCCAGAGAGGAGCGCCCAGGAAGCCCAGGACCAGCAGCGCCCCCCCAACTGCCGCTGGTGCTCGGGCGCCCTTGGAAGGTGCCCTTCCCCCAAGAGAACAGTACCTGGGAGGGAGGGGCCTGAGTGTCCCAGCCCCCATCTGTCCTGCCCCCAGGTGGTGGTCAACGTGCAGAGGCTGTATGCAGCCCAGCAAGAGGAGGGCTGGTTCCGGCTGCAGCCCGACCAGTCTAAGAGCCAGCGAGGCGGGTGAGTGCCCTGGGGCGGCTCTGAGATTTGAGGGCTGGCTGCTGGCCACCAGGCAGGAGAAGGGCAGGGGGCTCAGCCAGGGCTTCCTCCAGTCCTTGCCAGCCGGGCAGGCCCTTCTCACCCAGGCAGGACACCGTCCTGTCCTGTCCCACCGTCCTGCGCCGGGTTACACAGCTGTCCTGCCTCTGGCAGTTTCTAGAACAAGCCCTCAGATGCTTTCCCTTAAGGGCCTCTCTGCAGGCCTCAGACCAGGGTGCAGGTCCTAGAGTCAGTCTCTCAGAGCCATAATCCTTTAATGGATGGATAATGTTGATGAATCTTTTGTTTATTTATATGCGGTGTTAAGCCCCTCCCCAAGCTTCTCCAGGGACACCCCCGGCAAACTGAGTTCCAGATGATGCAGGAATGACCATGGAGTATTCCAAACTTAACTGTCTTGTGTTGCTATTTTGTTAAATCTGGCGTCCCTGCCCAGGAAGTCCTTTGGCCTACTTGCACCCCTTGGCTGGTTCTGCCTTGTCACCCTGCAGAAGGTCCCCCATGCCCCCCTCCATGCATACCCTTAACAGGAAGGAGCAGATGGCCGGGTGTGTGTCCAGCCCAAAGCATTTCCATAGAAGTGGCCCAGGGTCTCCTCTGACAGCTTCTGCTGTGTGCGGGGTGTGTGCTGGCCAGCGCAGCCTACTGACCTCCCGGGCTGTGTGTGGGCGGGGGCATGGAGAAGGTTAAGCCTCTGTGGGCACCCTCA